AGGTGGCCTTCATGGCCAAGCGAGGCTGGAATTCTTGGAGTCGGCTTTCGGGAAGAAATTCCCGGCGCGAAGGGGTCAAGTAGAGATAAGTTTACATGCCCATGAAGAGACAACCAAGTGCCCCTCAACAGTGAGCAACAAAAAGGCTATTAAGCCAATTGACCATCTGGTTCTGTGTGATAAGAGCTGTGATAAGAGTTAGAATGACAATGGAATAGACCTTCCCTGATTAATGTCTACACAAATGAAAATTAACAAAGTGTTACTAGATGTCACTGGGGAATCATGAGTGACATGACTAGACAGAATGGCTTAACAGTTACAACATGCCAGTGCATAAATGACAGCATCTATGCTTCATCGCACACTGTAGGCGTCTTGTGCCTACAGACACGTCACATAGTTGGAACCTGAATGTGAACCTACATGTGTTACACACCATTCACAAGTACAATGCAAGGCCAAGTTCCTTTCTGTTCCATACGAGTTCAGTACAGTAACAGCATCATCAGAATTGCAGGAACTTTCCTTGGTAATCACCCTACAGAATCATGTGTCATCTTCTAGGTTTTACTGAATGAATTGGGCTTCAATGCCCAATTCGTGACGCCTTTGGTCCAGGACTATGTGACACCAGTGACCAGACTTCTGTACCCAGAGTGTGGGGGCACTTCCCTGGATTCCCACAAGGCCTTTGTTGTCAAGTACAAAGTGGGCGAGGATCTGTCCCTGGCCTATCACTACGACAATGCAGAGGTGACTCTCAACGTGTCGCTGGGCAAAGAGTTCACTGAGGGGTCATTGTACTTTGGAAACATGAGATGGGTGAGATGGTTGATCCTGAACTGGTCTATATACATGTAGTCCAAATTCCAGTGGGAAAAAGTAATTATTTCTGTCACTGAATTTTGTGGTCCAAATTAAATTGAAGTTGATTTCACTCATTTGTTTGCACTTGCAAATATCTTCACAGCACTTTCACTCAGTAAAAATGAAGAAGTATGAATCAACTCAAAATGGGAACTTTTTAATGCCGACTAAAAGTAGAAAGCTACCGAGCGATTTGGGAGTCATACATGTAGTAGCCTTTAGTCAAGGCGATCTCCGTGATCGTTGATTTTAAGTCTGTGTGGCACATATGGCGCTTGAGTAAAGACCAGCACAGGTTTCATTTCATTTATACTGGCCAGAACTGTGAATCCCATTTGCAGGTCCTTTTTTTTTCAAGAGCTATGTGTTGTGCATGTTAACTTAAATTATTGCTGCAGTTTCCTTAAAAGACTAAAGGCTCGAGAGAGGCTAGCTGCAAACTTCAAATATATGTAGGTGTTGCAAACAAAGTGGAAATATCAGACCCTCCAAACGTTCAATTTAACTCATTTTAGCTTAAGGAAATCACGTTAAGGGAAATGCACAAAACTCCATGATCTCAAATGCCCTCGCACGTTTCCTAGATTTTTAATCCTCTTTAAATTTGTTACAACTAGAACATTTTCTGATGGTAACGCTAGTAGATTTTGGACATACCGTACATGTAGGTACCTCTGCACGAGACAGCCTGCTCAGAGTACATGCACAAACCGACCTTTGCCCTTCTGCACAGAGGTCAACACATGCACGGTGCCCTGCCAATCAGCAGCGGTGAACGCTACAACCTAATCATATGGATGCGGTCATCACAAGTGAGGAACAAGCGCTGTCCGATGTGCGATCAGAGACCGGAACTGGTAGAGACAGTAGGGTTCGGAGATGGGTTCACACAAGAGAAGGAAACCGTCAACGTGTGTGCTACTCTGTGATATCACCTGGGTTTTGAGACAAGATCTCGTACATCTGCCTCGTGATCTGCACTGGGTGTGATCCAAGTGGACGACCACTGAAGATCAATTTCAAAAATTGGAGCAAATTCTATGTTCGTACTTTTATGCGAAACTGTTAACTGTTACATTTTAGGAAGAACCTAATTCAACTGTACACTCATTGCTTGAGAAAACTTCTACTCTGAAAGACAAATTTTCAGTTTTGTTACACTCAGACAAAATAGGCCGTCCATTTTTAATCTAAAGAACTGAATATCCCACAAATGTCCAACACGTACAGCTACCACATCACAAGCCTATATTTTATTACTTTTTCATGACTCCATGTAATTAACTAATAATTGCAATTAATTATCAAAAACATGAACAGGTGTATTTTGGGTAGTGAAAGTTATTTTCCTGTAGAAGCTGTAGAAGAACCTGTTGAATCTTTGTTGAACATTAATCTGGCATCAGAACACCTATGTGGTTAACAAAGACAAAGGACTGGCTTTGCCACAAGTCATTTGATTAGCTGTTGAGTCCACTGGAGGATGGCTAGTGAACAACCGTGCGAGGACTTGTGAAGATTTCATCATAACTCGTGATAACAACAAGGAGCAGAGCCTCGTGCATGTTACAGCCAAAGATATCTTTCCTGGTGTTTTTCAGACATTTCAGGTTATTTGTGTAAAGGTTTTGCAGCAGTCCTCCTAATATTAGCTTCACTACAAAACTAAAACTGTAACAAGACCACATAAGTAAAATAAAGACAGGGTTTTAAATGAATTGTATCAAGAACACAGTTTCAAAAGAAATATTTACATTTGATGTTTATGTTCATTGAATTGAATTTCCTTGTCATTGCAGTCTGCTAAAACACCCGTGTCCAACAGGGGTGTGAGAATCCAGCTTTTTAGCTGATTTCAGCCCTTTTTGTTTAGATGTTGACCCTGAATTTTAGCTTTTTTGTACACCTGGTCTGGACAAAAGTACGGGAACTTTTTACATTGCAGCTTTTTTGTTAGCTGTTTTCAGCTTTTAATTTTAAGTAGCTACTCACACCCCCTGTCCAAGTTCACAACCAGCCCTTCATTTTACAAAAATGAACGGCTTGATATTGGTTAGCTGTGGCTCTTCGTTTAATACAGCCGTTTCACAATAGTGCGCCTCCAAGAGTTTGCAATGCGTTGGCCAATCACAGTGCGAGAAATTTGTCCACCCAATGTTCATTTGAAAAGGGTTGACAAATTTTGAGCGTTGTGATTGGCCAATGCGTTGCAAACTCTTGGAGGCGCACTATTGTGAATCGCCCATGTTAACAAATGTTACCTTTTCTTTTATCACAACATGAACAGAAACAGAACAACAGTCAGTCTTTAATACTGAAAACCTGGTTTTGATCTGGCTTTCATGGAAATGGTGAAACAGTAATAAAAATGGAACTAGAAGCATTTTGCTTAATAAATACATACACTTAGTGTGCAAAAATCGATAGAAATTGTTATTAAACTATTAGAATGTATGCTGAGATGAGCATCTTCATTGTACTTTATTTTCATTCAGCTTGGGTTTGCCTCGCCAACACAAAACAAAAGTGCATTCCAGCTTGCTGGAATCCTTCCTGATTTGTGCCCCCCTTTGTGGTGTAAATTTTAAGCCTCTGAGTTCTGACAATACACGCATTGCATCGAGAAAGTGTTTGGAGCACTCAAACTTCAATGCATATGATACCCTGATGGCGCTGACTTTTGAATCAGTGTCATGTCTCCTTCCTCTTGGCGTAGTGGTGTCGCAGGTGGTGCCAAATGCCTTGACACATGCAGACTAGTCTGGTGTCCACATACTCCGTCTTGGCAGTAGCAAACTTGTACTGTTGTCTGCGCAAAGAAATTATTTCGTATGTAAACCCAACACACTCAGTGCTCAAGCAGGGTTCACAGCATTTCACGAGAACAAAATTCCCTGATTTTTTGCTGATGAAAGTTAACAATTCTAGGATCATTATTTTGGCGTAGTCTGATGGTGTACACTGTAGGAGTTACGTTACAGGTGCACCACAGCTAAATTGATACAGAGAGAAAGAAGTATTTACGACAAGTGCACTAAGCTATACCACAAAGCCACCATAGCCATGCAATCATCCAGCGGATTTGCTGTTTGGTATGGACACGAGGCGAGAAAGTTTGACCACTGGACAAACAATATTCCCTGCTTTTTCCCTGATTTGAGGGACTTTTTTCCAAATCGCCTGGGTTTTCCCTGACTAGAAAAATGGAATGGATCTTGGAATCCCAGGCGCTATCCACAAGTACCCCCTCACTGTTAACAATAGGATATGCTGTGCCGACGAGGGACTGACTCCATGGGTACCAAATACAGCATGCACAATCTGAAATCTCAAAAACTCGGCATCACACTGGAATTAATGAGTGCACACTCACAGTGTGTCGACCCCCAAGGGTATGCTTACTAGGCAACAAAGTGCCCTCTCTCGTGAAACATGCCATTCAAGGAATGAAACCAATCGATCTTCCAATTCTTACCTAACCAGACTCTTTGCTTTGGCCAACTTGCCCCTTTGCATGAGACTCAATGCAATGTACAGCAGGCAGCGAGACCTCAGCATGGCATCTCCTAGGCATTCCGCTAGATACAACTGTCGGAGAGCCACCCTGCCAGCCTCCAGAGCCTTCAAAGGGGTAAAAATGAGTCAATTATACTTAAGAAGAGGCCAAATTCCTTTCAATTTTCACACATTTCAAAGGGATTTGAAAGTAACTGTGCTCTACCAAGCGTGGACAGCTATTTAGTAATACAGAATGTCCTATGAGCCTTGAGCTTGGCCAAGAGAGGGCGCAATTTCCCTAGCAACACAGGCTCCTGTGGTAGAAACTGCACTTCACTGTTCACAAGCTACTATGAATTGATGTATTACAGTCGCATCCCTACCAACAAAATGAGCACTCCCAACCAACACGGCACTTTTCACCCGATGAGAGAGTGCTTCTGCTCAAGGGGGATAGGGCGAAGTAGATTTATCCACACTATACAGCCAACATACTGAGATACACTCTATCCCTACATCAAGGAGAAAGCTCCACCCACAGATAGCAGTTACTTACACAGTTATACATATTGTCGCCCAACGAGGAGTAAGCTCCGCCCAGAGTGGACAGCCACGAGAAGGCTTCCTCCATCTGCACTCGCCTGATCCATTGAGGCAACATCCGATCACTCCTGCAAGAATTAATGAAAGAATCCGAAAGCTCCATACAGTACTGTGATAGAACGGAAACGTGCAGAAGAAGCTAAGAAACTGATGAAACGAATGATGGTGAGCGTTCAGAATTGATTTTTTTTTTTCTACCATGACATGCCTCCATATCTAGGAAAATGCTATAATAGAAGACTACAAACTTTCAGGTCTTCCAAGGTTCACAATCAATCAAGTAGGGTGGGGGCCAATGCAGTGTACTGGCTGGAAGGAAGCTGACAATTCTCAGCTCATTCAAGACGTTAACCACTTGCTGCCGGGTGGAATTTGAAGTTGCATGATGTATAACCGGGATATTTTCAAGATTTTCTGTTTTCAACTTTTTTTAAAAATCATAATTTCATTTACTGGATGTTTACACGTACACTCACACGAACGACTGTCTGGTGGCTACTCTAATCTGACAGACATCTATTGATGAGTTGGTCAGCCAGGCCTGCCGCCTTGTAAAAAGTGCCCTGATTGTACAGTGTCACATAAGTTTCTTTTGTTCCCGAAACTGGTACAGTGCGTAGCTGGCGTCTTTTCAATAGGAGCCAGATTTGCAAGCAGCGGTATTGTACCGCTCATCACTGGAGCGCTTTTGTCCCCGGTGGTAATCCCCTTGCTCTGAATGCCACAAACAATGGTATAATCTTTCAAAACAATGACAGATTTCCTCCTCTGACAACTGAAAAAATGTTAACAATTCCCAGCAGCTCGGTCTTTTGTTCTGAGTACGGTCTTTTGTTATTAGGCCTAGCTCTTTTGTCCGGTTTCGGGCTCCCCAGTTTTGTGTATAAAGCCTACATGCCCGACACCGGGCTCCCCGGCAGGAAGTGGTTAAGGATTGAACAAAGGTCTCCTGTGGGCCTTCTACCTCCGTTTCATCCATGAAGACTTTGGGTACGTCACCCTTACTGTTTAAAAATAACCAGTCCTTCCTGTATTTGCCCTTACTTGAAGCATCCCATCACCGGTGATGAAGAGAAACGTCACAGTCGTTGCTCTGAAAACTTGATTTAGCCAAGCAAATTGTACATGGACTTGGACCACCCTCTTGCATTATATCACAGCACTGTCACTGATACACCCATCCATTAAGCCCCACCCATGGTCTCTCATCCAATCACAGAGATGATTTACATAATCTATGTCTAGCATACAGGCACAAAAGTTTGTTTGACATCTGAAGCTGCTATGTGCAGTGTGACATAAGAGAGAAGCACATGTTGATTGCCTACTTATAAAGTGGGCGGGGCTAACTGGATCGGGCCATACTAGGATAACATAAATGGAAACGAAGTATGAGGGGACAACAGTTCTGAAAAATTACCATCTGATATCAGGCTCCATCTGGAAATACTTTCTGGTTCTGCTCAGCCATAATCCCAGGTATAAATGCCTACATACACAGCACTCGTCGTCTGAGGCCAAACCATAGTCTTGTTCCTTTCTCCTTTGTATCTGGAATCCTCCATTGTCAGCAGCTGCTCGTGAGTGTATTCTGGTCAGCAGATAGCATCGGAAAGAGGATGCAAAACTTCTTGATCTCCGTAACTCCATTGTAAGACAGGATGCTAGCATTGGGTCCATAGCCACGTTAAGTGTTAGACTTGCACAAGTCCCATCATCATTCTCTTCAGGATCTGCTTTGGAGTCTGTGTCTGCCAAACTGATTGTTCCTTGTGACTCTGCCAATTTTGGTACCTTGAAGGAATTGGTTGTCATGTTCCATAAATGCTTCACTTCTTGAGTGTGAGCCTTGCTCTCAGTTGAGAGGACGAACAGTTGGGACCTCCACCAATGGTCACATCCTGGCATTATTAGACTGTCTATGACGTTACTTCCACCACACCTGACTGTAACAGTGATGCACTGAATATCACTTTTATCAGGCGGTGAATCTTCAGGGGCATCCATTCTCAACTAAACAGATACCTGGAAGAAAAAAAATTGAACAAATTGATTTGCTGACAACATCATGTCTTCAAATTCCAAACAACCAGGAAATTCATGGATCAATCTCTTTCTTGAGTATGTGTGGTTCTTAGAAGAACCTGGGAATAAATCGACGTTCCGAACAGTGTACTCTGTCCATCTTCAGGAGACTACAGGATTGTCACTGGGAGTGGAGAATACATGGTGCAGCATCCATTGTTCTCGCCTTCACTGTTCCTACCTTAACGCCTCACCGAGCTAATCCCTACATCTAGATCCCTCTCTACACCATATAAGCTCCACTTCCAGTCAGAATCCTGCAGTCTCCTGCAGTCTCCTGAAGACGGAAAGAGTACATTGTTCGAAACGTCGAGTTATTCCCCGGTTCTTCTCAGAACCACACATACTCAAGAAAGAGATTGATATATGGTACATATATAACGGCAATCATTTTACTCATCTAGTTTCTTTCACCATGAAAACCTTCAAGTCTTAACCAGGAAATTCATTTTTCTGCAAATGTAATGATGTCTTTTTTCTCTGTGGCCCTTGCAAAATAAAATCTACATCATTTTGCCCATACTGTTGAGGTAAATGTGACGTGACCTGAATGAAATTCTATAACAAATTTTTTGCACGGAAAATCGAATTCTAGGATTGAAAAAATTTCTTCTCTATTACCGTGCCCTGTATATAAAGAATGTATGTGCAAAATCCACATGGACAACAATCTACATGTTGGGCACAAACCCCATGATCACTCTGCACAATTCGTCAATCCTGTATGAAATTTTCAACGTCACTGCTCTTTCTTGAAACAATCTTCCTCAACCGTGAAAAAGAAAGTAAACGTGATTGGCTGATGGAAGACTTCTGGACAAACTGTGCAACAAATATTAATGGATCAAAGAATGATGCGTGGAGACTTGGATTTGACAGATCAAGCCCAATATCAAAGTTGATTACCTTCCATTCAGTCCTGTTGTGTGTCACACCAAATCGAAACAGGACTTTGTGGGACTTACAATGTACATGTAACTAGTTTTTTCTCCTAGGAATGTTCATGGCATCATTTACAAATTTCCCAGCGCCATGGGCCATTCTTCCTAGGGCTGTGCCGAATAACAGAATATTCAATGGATTATCGAATATTTGAATATTATTTTCCAAATTTGAATATTCAAATGCAAAATTCATGAAAAGGTAGGAAAATTTTTTGTTGTTCTAAATGAGAAAAATTGCACTATGGAGACTTGTTTCAAGCAGATTCAAATGAAAAGCGACATAAATCTTACGATTCAAAAAGTAAATTTTCCTTTAAACAATTTCAAAGGAATAGAAATTTTCAACAGGGCAACAAATATTGTTCATCTCTTAAATCTTCCTAAATCTTGGCTGGAAATACTCCTAGATGTGAGAAGCTATTTGATTATAATGTACAACTGTGCGTTATTGCAACTGATTTTGTATATATGGTTTGTTCATCAACAATCTGCCGGTCGGTACAACTGAATATTCAGATATTTGATTGAATTGAAGGTCAAATAATCAAATAGTGAATTATTTGAATTGACTCGGCCCCAATTCTTCCATATCTGCATAGACCTCATTGCAAATTGTCTATTGCTTAAGTGATATGAAAATGAAGAAGGTTTTGTTACCAGATTGTTTTGCATTCCCACAATACCTTCACACTATTATTATGCGAAATTCCCAAGTGGCATTTGTGATATTAAAAACCAAGTCAGAGTAAGGACTCTATATATATGAATAATGAATCACCTCTTTTAACGTTTGGACATGGTCAGTGTTGTCAGCGCCAAATGTTGAAAGACGCAATTTGTGGAGTCCCATTTACTCAGACTAACTTGAACCTGACTCCTAGTGATACAAATACTTCAAAGCTCCAGCCCCTGCCCTCCATCTCCGCCTTTAAGCTTAATAACGCACCTAGGCCCAGATCATTTGGGCCTTGGCCTATTGTGATAGGCATGAAAGTTACTTGCAAGTTGCAGAACTCCGAGTCACACGGAGTAGTAGTGAGTAGACTCGAACATGCCGAACTCAAGTACGCCTAACGTTAGGCCAAGCTAAGCAGGCTTAAGTAACGGGAACTTCCATGACTTCAGTCTAATGCTGTCGAGTTTACGTTTTACTCAAGCTAGGCCTACAGTATATATTTCTCTTTCAGTAACTTACATGTACTTGCGGCGCTAGCGACAGTATACAATCTTTGGTCCTCAGTTTCGGAACTAATTTCAATTGGGTATCACAGCGATACTTCATTGGTTGTCAACACCTAAGTACGTGTAAGCCCAAAGCATGACGACGTACCAGCGAATACAGACCTAAACCCAAATATGGAATTTGACCGTTTGCAATACATGTACTGGTTCCGTATGTTCCGCTCTACGAGGAGGGGGGCGTGTGGTGTTGACAGATCACGGGGAGAGAGATTCGGAGATTAAAGGCCGGTTCCCAAGACCCATTTCGCCTGTTCTACGTTCGTGGTTGCCAACGCAGGTGTTTTCAGTCAGGTTACGCCCGTTGTTGACTGACATGAATGAGTATGAAGTCATTGATGGGTTGTAAACACAACAGTTCTCACTTTCAGGACTAGTCAAGTTTGTTATGACCGTCTAGTAATACAGGCCTATGTCTTACCCTTAGCTCAATACTTTAGTTTAACCCTAACCATGCTGAACCCAAAAAGGTTATGCAGGATTTCAATAGTCCCAAGGGGCTTATAAGGCCTACTGTGAGCTGTGCAGTGCAAACTCTGTTCCACCTTCTGTCATATCTGTATCATCATCATGGTTCTGATATTCAATCTCTATTGTTGATGTATCCTAACTTGGCCACGCGGTGCATTGGTGTTACCCCTTATGTGGCACAATTTCATTTTTTGTTTCTTGTGTTTTAACAAAAATCATTTCTGGCTCAAATTACACAGTAGGCCTAAGTGAAGTGTCATCAACCTTGTAATATTCTGATTCATAAATCTCAATTTAGGTGCTACAAATTTCAGATCAAATTTTATTTTCGCCCAATTATCTTATTGTTTTCCAACGTGCGCAATAAACTATTTTAAATGTGCCCCAAAATAGGAAAAGAATTTTCTGACAAACTAGTGGATGGGTATTTGAATCTCTCACATTCAAAGGATTCTGTAAATGTTTATGTGGGATCTTCGGAGATTCTTTTCAAGTGCGCCATGTTACGGAGCACGTTGCTGAATTTGAACCCAATTTCCGGACGCCAACAGTTTGAATTTCAGAATAAATTTCATGACACTGAACTTGTTCACAGATGTTCAACACCAGGTATCATGAAGGCAATAGTACCAGTTTTAACCAAATGAGTTTTTCAGTTTTTAAAAAAGAGGTTTGGCAATGCTGTGGGAGGAAAGATAAGTAAATGTCGAAGTGCACCACTTTGGGGACTCTACTATATCTTATATGTTTTACTTCAGCCCCAATGCTCTCAACACTGGGAAATTTGGTACTTTCCTAGTATGATTACTGTTAAGGCTAGTTACCCAAGCCTACTACATTTATATCTCCCTGTTAATAGTGGTGTCCTGTCGACACCCCATAATTCAAGGAGTAATCTTTACACATTCTGCTCATATTGAAAATCAAATACTTCATTGTAGTCAAGTCCATGACAAGTCCCTTCACAAAACCAGTCATAAGTAATAGGATTACTAGTGGCAGAAGAATGGTTTTGTCACAGTTTATAAGATGAGATGGCTTATGAAGAACCTGTGATGGGCCCAGCTATGACATCAGATCGTAGAGTATTTTGTAGTTTGCACATGCAGTGAAATACTTTTAAAACCTTCTTAAAATGCAAGACTCGTATGAGTTGTGTTTAAACTGTCATTATTGTTGTCTTGGGTGAAAAAGTTTAATTTCAGAATTTGTTTTTAGTTGCAGTAAACTAGCCACCATGTGGACTTTCAAAGCAGCTGTCTTGAGATCTTATTTTGTGTTGATGACTTCGGCCATGATAACAGACAACAGTGTCTTCCTGAACAGCCAGCTACCACAGATCAGAATCCCCCCAAAGCCGATGCTCTACCCAAGAGAATCGGAGACCCGCGAGATCAAAGAACTCAACGGACTCTGGAAGTTCCGTGCCGATAACTCCCCATCGAGGAATGAAGGCTTCAGCGCAAAATGGTATTTACAGCATCTGTCAGAGGTACAGTTTGGAGTCTCAATTTCATGGACAGGTTGCTGTTGGCTGTTATACGCATGAACTGATCATTAGCTTATGTTCAGTCGTTAGATCAATGAGTCCCTATTTTGTAACACTTACACAGTGTTTTAGACTGCCAATCACGGCCACCTCCCTTGTCTTGTCATTTTTTTTTTTGAACAGTACCACCTGGTGTGCAAACCTCCCAACTTCTCCCATTTAATCGCAACCGTTCCGATTTTTGAGTTTTCAAAGGCTTAAAAATTCATGTCATGGCAAAAGAGGGCACTATTTGCAGAAAAAGAGGGTGCTTTTTGCTGTCAAACTGGCTGCTGTTACATATACGGGTGAGGCTATAAGCCTGTCTGGCTCCAATCTAGTGCCCATGTACGAATACCCAATGTATCTCATCGTCGTGCTTTTTACAGACACTTATGACTTACCAGGTTCTTGTGTCTCGGACCCACTCTGCACCATTTTTCCTTCAACTGAAAACATATTTGGTGAAGAAAAACAGCATTGGAAAAAGCAGTTTCAAAGGGAATCGAACTCAGGACCGTAAGATCTATGGTTCAACTCGCTATCTACAAAACTATTGTGGCAGCTTGCCGACAAGAGTTCTTTCACATGCTTGAAGGTAGTGAAAAAATGTATGTCCGTCATGCCCGTGCTGTAAATGGGTTTTCTATGCATTTGAGAGTTTTACATCTATGCACGGAGTGCCTGGCTTCTAGCCTCACCTTTACATATACATGTACTTAACTTGTTTGTACATGTAAATGTAAACAGCTTCCTTCGCATGGCTGCTTGTTTTGCTGTGAGCTCCTGAAAGGAGTGTTTGGATTTTTGACTTTTGGTTGGCAGGTATGGATATGCAATGTCCATTGACATCTCTCTTGATATGCAAGAAGTTTCAAAAGCCGTTAATATCGAAACACCTTTTGTTTTGTCATGTTTTGTTTGTTTATTTTTTTTTTGAAACAGACAGGGCCTGTGATTGACATGCCTGTGCCCTCCAGCTTCAACGACGTGACTCAGGACAGAACACTAAGGGACTTTGTCGGATGGGTGTGGTACGACCGGGAATTTTTTGCTCCGATTGGATGGAGAAACCCTGATGTTAGGGTAGTGCTCCGATTTGCCAGCGCTCATTACAACACCGTTGTGGTGAGTTTGGGGTCATCTTGAATATGGAGTGGATTTGACATAAGGGCGTGCTGTTAGTTTTCTCTACAATTTGAGAATTTCAATGGGAGTCCCATTTGGAATATGTCAATCTTAACTCCCTAGTAATTCATGCCAGGAACTTTCTGGAACCCTTCAAATTTCCTTGTTATCTTACTCACAAATGTCATCCAGACCCATGAAGAGAAGTAGTGCTTCAGCCCAACTTCCCTCAATCGTGCAAAATTCTCTTCAACCGCCTGGTGGATTTTGTGACCGGTTACTGTCTCACCTTTCTTGGGCGCTCTAAAGTGGTTCACTGCTACCCACACAGAAGGATGCTGAGAGAGTCAGATCTATTTGAAACTGATTATTCCTCTAAATCAGTGTGATCATTTTTAAAGATGGCCATTCCCATTATCTGACCACTTATAGAGTATGCTTACCAGCCTTACCGTGCATGATAACTTGGCGAAAAACTACTTTAACACCCTTAACAACAAGAACTGTGGTGGCCCATGGCCCACAATTGGTGTCATGCCTTCTTTGTTTTCAAATGAAGCAGTTTTGGTTCGTTTTCAGTGGCTGAATGGAGCTCAGGTTATGACCCATGAGGGTGGTCATCTACCATTTGAAGTGGAAATAACCCAAGGCGTGAAATACATGGCACCCAATCTGATTACGGTTGCAGTCAACAACACGCTGAGCCCAACAACGCTACCCCCAGGAAGCCTGACGTTCAAGAATGATCCAAGAAAGTAAGAGGCCTTTATCTCATCCTGGTCAGTGGACTGTCTTCACTGGTACTCCATCACCAGTGACAAATGGAGTGGATGGCCTGACGGTTACCATAGTCCCGAGGTTCAGTACTATGATTCCAAAGATTTGTTAGTCCAAAGGTTCATTAGTCAGAAAGTTCATTGGTCTGGGGTTCAATGTTCTGACAAGTCAGTAGTTTGAAAATAGATAAAGGTTAAATGATCCCAAATTCCTGTAGTCTGAATTGACATTTGACAATAAGGTTCAATAATCCAACTTGGTGTTGGGGTTCAACAATCCAATTTGACTAAAAGGGTCAATACTCAAAATGGGCTTTGAGGTTCCATAATCCAAATGGGCATTGAGGTTCAATACTCAAATGGGCTTTGAGGTTCAAAACTCCAAATGGGCACTGAGGTTCAATAATCTAAATGGGCACTGAGGTTCAAAACTCCAAATGGGCACTGAGGGTCTAAACTGCAAATGGGCACTGAGGTTCAATACTCCAAATGGGCATTGAGGTTCAATGATCCAAATGGGCACTGAGGTTCAAAACTCCCAAATGGGCACTGGGGTTCTGAACTCCAAATGGGCACTGAGGTTCTAAACTCCAAATGGGCACTGAGGTTCTAAACTCCAAATGGGCACTGGGGTTCTAAACTCCAAATGGGCACTGAGGTTCTAAACTCCAAATGGGCACTGAGGTTCAATAATCCAAATGGGCATTGAGGTTCAATACTCCAATTGACAATAAGGTTCAAATGTGGCTAAGTCCCAGTTCACACAATCACCTCCGCTGACTTGTGTGTGTGCAAAATGAGTGTTAAAGGTGACGATTCACCCTGTCACCTGCAGCTGCGGAGACACTTGCCAAGATTGGTTGATGAACTCTCTACGAAACTATCGCAGAAAATTGTTCGGGGCTTATACATCCTGTGGTGTGTACTGATTAAGAATCCAGGAAATGAATTTTTCTTAGAATCATGGATATGCAAATAGCATTAGCATAAAACCCAAAAAACATCAAAATATGGGTTAAAATTGCAGAACAAAAATTTTAAATCAGGATAATTGAAACCCAAAGATACAATTTCAAGGGTTTTTAGTAAAATTTATAAAAATATTCCTAATTCCTGGTTCCTTTAAAGATTGTCGATTTGCGACATATCTTGGACCTGTAAGTCTGTGCTTACTCAACATGTCCTGCTTTCTTTAGTTACCCACCAGGTTACTTTGTCCAAAACGTCCAGTTTGATTTCTTCAACTACGCTGGTATCCATCGCTGGGTGCATCTGTACACCACCCCAAGGGTTCACATCAGCGACATCACTGTAACCACTGATTTTGAGGGCTCCACAGGTGAGTTTATTGTCAGTGTAAGAGTAGACTGACAAGCTATCACATACATCCCAACATGGCAGTAAATTTACTCTTTGTTGTCAAGTCTGAAGTGGGGGGGGTTATGATTGCATGCATAAATGCGTATCTCTGCTTATTTGGCATTATTTATTCTTATCTCAAATCAGGCAAAGGTGAATCAACTACTTTACAATACACATCATTATATATTGGAAAGAAATCGTCAAGTCTATTGCTGTGTGTAATTTCCCCTCTGTGTTTGTGACAACTTGAAACTCAGTTCCCAGTTTCTGCCTTCATCATTGAAATGTTTTTACTTTTAAGGGACGTGTCGCTGCCTGAGTTTGACGGACAGATTATGAATAGATCAGATGAACAAACGTCTTGTTTTTTTTCCTCTTTATTTTCCAAATCTTGCAGGCATAATGAACTACACCGTTTTGATAGGCGGGTTAACCAGTCATTCCCCAGCAGCCACTGTTGAACTGAAAGATCCAAGTGAAGGGGGACGCGTCGTAGCTTCCTCCAAAAGTCTGTCTGGGGTCTTCACCGTCAGCGACGTCAAGCCATGGTGGCCTTACACCATGAGCAACAATTCAGCCTTTCTGTACACATTGCGGGTAGAATGTAACATAACAACCACCCATTCTAGCTTACTTTCTTACATTTTTGGCCGACATTTTTGCATGCAGAGTCTATGAACCAGACTGGCAACAATTGTTTAGTGGTTTGAAATCGCCTTTGCATGCTGCAGGGGACTAGACCAATTTGTTCCAGATCTGTGGATTTTTATTGCTCAAAACGGTGAGATTCCTTGTATTACAGTGATCAAAACAATTTATGGCCATAAAAAAAATCCAACAGTATCAAAATGTTGAAGCATTTTTTAAAATCAAGATAATTTCAACTAGAATTCACAATTCACAACGTCTGACTTATCAGTAAGGTTGGAGTTAAGCACCCGTATTGCACACTTAGACGAAACATGTTTCTATATTTTTTCTCTTCACTCAGCGCATACTTGATGTTATCGACCCATTTCTTTGGCCTGTAAGATTCATGGTCTTAGATGTGTAGTTGTGTTTTAAAGATCTCTGTGGAGTGGTCTTGAATTATCAAGCTTTCCATCTACCAATGTCAAGGGATGTTCGACATCACTACCAATAATATTCTTTGTCATTTTTAGTGATTGGCTCCTTATCTTTTTATTTTTTCCAAATGAGTAAGTAAGTCCATGTATGCCTTTTACTCTTTCAAACACGAACTGTTCTCCACAGGTATGTGTACGAAACGGGGCCACCTCTGATGTCTACCGGTTACCAGTTGGCTTTCGCACAGTGTCTGTCAACAATAAGAAGCTGTTTATTAACAACAAGCCGTTTTATTTCCATGGCGTCAACAAGCACGAGGATAGTGATGTAAGTCTCAGTGGGGTCATTTATCCTCAACCAAGACTTATTGCCAACAGTAACAGGGCAACATGTTTACTTTTCATGTGCTTTGTGAAGCTAATTGTGGGACCGTCACTTGAGTACAGTTACGCTTGCATAAGCATCGCCCTAGCTGGGCATGAAAAGATGAGATGTGAAAATAACATAGCGTGGTTTATCTCGGTTGAATAGTCGATGTCAGCTCCCAATCGTTGTGGAGGTTGACAGACCAGATTCCTCACCTTTGCCCCAGGGCTATTTGCTAACTTCCTGGAGCTAACATCAGCTATTCTACCTCAAACTATGCTATGTTCGTATCATGTATACTGCCCTAAACTGCACACTTTACATGCCTGAAGGAGTCTAGTGAGGAACTATTCACCAGAAATTGCACATGCGCACTACTCGACCTTAGACTGTATGTGATTGTGCATTAACCTGGTGCGATGCTGAGTAACCCATATCTAACCACAAAAACACAGACATAGATCTATTTGTTTAGGGAGGAAGGGGTTATTACTTGAATCTTTTGCAGATTCTGCCACAACCAGTCTAAAAGGGAAGCACGGGTGACCAGATACAACAGTCCTGTACTTAGAGTCAAGTTTTAAATTGAACGGCAAAGCAGGAGTGCGGACACCATGTCTAAATTATTGGCTACAGTTGGAAATAATACACACTGCTATGAGAAATAAATGAAGCCGCTGCCTGGTGGACTTCATAAATGTACATGTATGTGTTAGTACATGTAGTAGTCATAGCCAAGCAATGCCAACATAGCCTTACATGGTAAAACAACAGACCAACTTTTGGTTTGGTTTAGGCTTGAAAATGTTCACTTCTGCAGTTTACCTGACTGTTTGGAATGCAGGTTCGTATTCCAATAAATTCCATCAAAACCATTCCCTAGTTTAGACTCTTTTAGGGAGTGTTGTGTAATTCACTGAAGGCAAACTGGGTGAAAAATCAACAAGAGGCATGTTTCAAGAGTAGTGATTGATATTATGCATTGGTCAGGTACGAGGGAAGGGGCTGGATTTACCTCTCACCATCAAGGACATTAATTTGATGAAGTGGATGGGGGCCAACTCTCTCCGCACCAGCCACTACCCGTATGCTGAGGAATTCCTGGATCTCTGCGACCAGCACGGCATCGTGGTCATTGACGAGAGCCCAGGAGTCGGAATAAAACTGTGAGATTCCACAAAGCTCAACATTTCACAGCATTGTTACTCAGTTGAAAAAGGGGAACTTAATGCAAATCTGTCATCTTTTATTTTAACTCTAACCGCCAGCCTACCTTTCCAGACACATGCAAAGATCCAACAGGTCAACTCTCCCCAAGGCAAGACAGCCTGCAAGTCTGTTTACCTGTCACCACAAGATCCAACAGTGACATTGTTCAGTGAAACTAGTTCCCATTGTCTCAACATGGCCAGTTTGTTGGGCTGCTGTTGATTGCCCAGTGCATCAGACTTTTTCCCCCGATGGACTGCGCTGCATCTGGAAGGGTTAGGTTTAATGCAGTTCTTAATTCAGTGCACAGAAATGCATGTCCCAGTGGACCTTTTAAGATGTGACTGCGCTGGTCCGGATAGCAAATAGCAAAACAAGGTACAGGGAAACCCTGTGATGCACTTCACAACTCGTAGGAGGTGATGTAATCGGAAAGAGACTTTCACAATCTTAGGCTGCATCCGAATCTCTTGTCTAGAGCTAGGTCTTGGTCTTCGCTCCATTGGAAATGCGTGGAGACACGCAGACAATAAACCTAGCCGTAGCTCTGGAAGCCTGTTTCGGACACGGCCTTAGGTGAGAAAATCATTAATCAGTGAACTGCATCTGAGTCTCTAACATTGCAGTGTCCTAATTTCCCTGTTCCAGGGAGAGCAACATGGGACCTGTCTCCTTGGCTCATCACCTGGAAGTCATGATGGAGATGTACCAGCGTGACAAGAACAGGCCTTCCGTCGTCATGTGGTCAGTCGCCAATGAGCCAGACTCCACACTACCTACTGCACCGCATTACTTTGGGTGAGTGGCACCTGGCCAGAGATCAGAGCAGTTCTGAACGTGGGGGGGGGGATTATGAGATCATAAACGAATGTGGCGGGTCCAGAAGTGAATTTTCAGGGAACACCTAAATTATTATTTCACTATTTCATGACCTTTCTGCAGAGCAAGGCTACATTTTGGAGCTTCATACACACTTCTGAAAGAGAGAGAACTGAAATAAATGAAAAAAGCCACCTTTATCTAATTGTTAAAAGACATATTGTTTGTGCTTTTTTGGAGGAGTTTTGACTCTGTTGGTCCCCGTGGACCTGCCCCTGGTAAAATAGAAAAGTTTGGGGTTTACCCAGATACAAGGCCCAGAGTACACTATTCTGGGAACCATTAGGATGGGAGGAAGAGTTGATGCATTCAGTCCATACCCCCTTCATACATTCACTGTTTCTTCCAGGACTGTCATTAACTTCACCAGGAGCTTAGACCCAACCAGACTGGTCACCTTTGTTCTCGGCGGAACGAGCGTTGAGAGGGAGAAAGTGGTGAGTGACCGATCATTTCTTTCTGAGAATTCTGGCAAAGGGGCTATGCGACCAAATTGTGCAGAATACCCACGACAATACTCGCACACGTCCTGGATGAATTTTGAGATGGACTCCTTGATCTCTGCCACACCTCACAGGCTCAGTGGTGTGACGTCCTGTGTCTGAACACCTACTTCTCCTGGTACAGTGATTCTGGCCATCTGGAGCTAGTCGAGATGCAGTCCAACACCAGCCTGTGGGACTGGCACCTCAAGTTCAACAAGACCATCATCCAGTCGGAGTACGGTGCCGACACCATCCCTGGACTGCACATGGTGGGTAGTCAGGTAGTCGTTCAGCTGCCAACGTGCAGTGGTTCCGGATGATCATTTCTAGTTGACATTTCCGTCTGTAATCATTCCCTTTTTCCAGGACCCACCTCAGATGTTCACTGAGGATTACCAGTGTGACATGATGGCTGGGTACCACGCGACCTTTGACATACTCCGCCATAACTTCCTGACTGGGGAGCTGATATGGAACTTTGCTGACTTCATGACAGTACAATGTGAGATACGCAGAGCGATTCATTGATTGGTCAATAGTTTTGCAGCTAGAACTATGAAATTGCAAAGCAAGATCTGCCTAGTAGCAGTAGTCAGACCTAGACCTCGGACAGCTCATTTGAAGGTCTCTCGGAGTGTAGTTTATTCTCCTCTGTCTCCTGGCTGCATGGAGGGTACTGGTTCCCCTCCCCCATGAAAAGAGGAGGAAATTTGCTTGTAAATATCTCGGAATTGACCCGTTCTTCAGTTAATGGTTGATCAGTTTGCTGCTAGTGCTCTCCCCCCCCCGGAAAAATTCTCACCACGCCCATGTTAAGGGGTCCTTTAAATGAAATTCATAATGTGTAATGGTTCTGGGTCGTTCCGTTGAGTGTTCAAAATGGGGATATTTATGTTAGGCCATCAATTGCAGCACTTTTTGTCTATCGTGTTGCTGTGGTATTGTGTTCGCGTATCATTTGTGCTTTGTTTTTTCAACTTGGATGTTTGTAAACTGGCTTTGCATTTGGCATCGACGTCAACAAATTCCATCACCTTGCTTTGCCTTGTTACTCTACAATACTGGGGGGGGGAGTTACTAAGATGTTCTTACACAAGATTGAACATGTTCTCTTCACGTTGATTGTTTATCTAAAAGTTCCTGCTCTGATTGTGTTCACGAGACTGACCAAAGTTTGGATTTGTTCCTTGTGACTCCTCTGCTTTATGTTGGTGTCTTTGATTCCCTTGTCACAGCCGTAACCAGAGTAGTGGGCAACAAGAAGGGTGTTTTCACCAGGCATCGTCAGCCGAAGGCTGCAGCTCATCTCCTGAGGAGGCGTTACCTGAGCCTTGCTGAGGAATCCAAAGTGTAACGATGGTGAAACAGGAGCAGTGGTGGTTTAAGGAGCCAGATGGTAATGGGAGACACGACGTGAGCGTAAACATGGAAAGGCTGCGTGCATGTCTCAGAAGGGGATCCAACCCTGGAAAGTCTTTCACGCGCAGAAGAACTACAAAACACAAACATATCTCAAACAATTGAAATTGCCGCTTTCATTGTTTTAGTTTTTTAATTCACTCACAAGAAGATTCCTGCGTTTGCACTGCAAATGATACAGTCAAAAAAGCAGAGTCACATTTGACATTTATGCACTTTGAGAAATTAACTCTCTTTTTTGATCCCAGAGTAAAGAAGGAAAACATTCGTTTTATTTTTTAAAAACGGGATTCACTTTAGTGAACTTGAAGCATTATTACTCAACCACATGGTACCAGATGTCGTGTAAACACAAACAATTTTCCTTATTTGTTACACCGAGGACATGTGCACTTGTTTAAGAATCCTTCTATTTCTGCAGTTGCTGCATACACATCCTGCTTGGTTGGGTCAAAGCGCAATTGCAAAATTGCAGCTTTTTCGGTAAGAAAATCTGACTTTAATGGGCTGTAAACCTTCTTGTATCTTCAAAAATCCAAACCAACTTTTTAAACAAGATACCACAACCACAGTTCTTTACGAAGTTGGACTGAACAAATACTGACCTATGGGCTGATGGTGGTTATTTGTTCAAGATTTGTCATTGTCACCTTTTTTCACTCCGAGACATTGTTACAGACCAATATTTTGCTACAATGCCCAGCCGTGGATGCTCAAATGCTTAAGAGTTCCACGCACACTCAACTTCCATTAGTATTAAGCCCTCACTGTGTTCAGAGGACAATTTCTACCGTTAGGAACGTCTGGACCGAGTTGTCAAGGCAAAAACTTGTCCCCATAATTTTGTTTGGTCCCCACAACACAAATCAATATGTAGTACCACCAATTATGAAACAAGCATGGGAGGACTTTAAGCCTCTCTGTGTGTTTAGAAATGCTGAGAATCACCCAAGTATGGTGATGCTTGGATATCATCCACCACCGCATACAGAAATTGCCCGTGTAACTGGCACAGAAAACAATTCTTACGTGTTTTACATGTCCTCTGGGGTCAAACATCAAATCCCCATTGAGAAGTCAAGGCTGTAACGGCCACAAGTCCACTGAAAATGCACGTGCATTGAAACTAGCTGTTAGATTTGCAGTAGTTATGGTTTGATAATGAAGCATCTTATGCAATACATTAATATTCATCACAAATAATACAATCCTGTTATAATAATCAGCGTTGTATTAATCCTCAATACATTTACTTTTTTTTAACTAACAGTGTCGTGCATATTGAAACTGAGAGGCTGGAGCATAGAATTTATGCCGTGGTATTTTATTGTGTAAACTTAACATTTTGTTACAGATATTTTTATATACCCAGCAAGAAATGAGACCGAGGGGTACCCCCCAACATGT